AATGTTGTAAATAAAAGAACACTCTGAATCTTATTATTTCCTCTCCTGCCAAAAGAGTGGAAATTCATCAAGGCCACAATTGGGAAGAAAAACATGATAATAAAATGGTTGCTTCCTACCCTACCCATACTCTCGCCTCACCCCGAACTGATTTCTCCTCGAATCTATCAGTCTAGGAAGGAAGAATACAAAGGTTGGGAGATGAGAAATGAATAGCAGCAAGAGAAATGAATCTTTCATATGTCTCCCTTTCAAACCAAGTAAAACTCTACCTGTCTGGCTCTGTGCTGAATGCACCTCATCAACTCTTATTCTCCCAACAATCCTATGCGGTAGGTATTGGCGTCACCACCGCCCCCCCACCCCCTTCACAGATGATGCAACTAAGGCTTGGAAAGATTGAGAAACTTGTCCAAGGTTACACAGCTAGTAAGTGGCAGAGAGCCAAGAGTCCTGATTCCAAAATCCATACTATTTACCCACCACTACACTACTTATTACTGTAGTATAGATGAAAGGGTATTTATTGGGTTCCAGACTCAGCTTCGCCCCTCAGGCAAATCACTTAACCTTGCTGAGCAGTTTGTCATCTGCAAATGAGAACAAAGACAGATGCCCAGCTTTCTCTAAGGCATCAAAGCGATGCTGAAAGAGTTAATGGGTGTGCAAATATGCTGTAAAAACTACAGGGCACTATGTAAAAGATTTTGTTAATTTGAGCCTCAGTTCCATATTATCTTTATCCTTCCAAGTGGTTTACTGACTGAAAAGTAAGTTTAACGAGTTACATCATTTTTAACATTCCCAAGCAAAAATCTAGTTAAAAAAAAAAAAAAAATCAACCTTAGATATTCTGGAAAGGCCAAACTATAAAGAGAGTAGAAATATTAGTGGTTGCCAGTGACTTAGGAGAAGGGAGGGGACACACACAGAGGACAATGAAACTACTCTGTATGATACTGTAATGGTGGAATAATGTGTCAAAACTCAATGTACACCACCAGCTAGTACTCAATTTTTCTGTAAACCTAAAACTGCTAAAAAAAAAAAAAATTGAGTCTAGCCGAAACCGGTTTGGCTCAGTGGATAGAGCGTCGGCCTGCAGACTGAAAGGTCCCAGGTTCGATTCTGGTCAAGGGCATGTACCTTGGTTGCAGGCATATCCCCAGTAGGGGGTGTGCAAGAGGCAGCTGATCGATGATTCTCTCTCATAGATGTTTCTAACTCTCTATCCCTCTCCCTTCCTCTCTGTAAAAAAAAAAATCAATAAAATATTTTTTAAAAATTGAGTCTATTAATGTTTTAGGAATTCTTACTTATAAAAAAAAAATTCTGAATAAATAAATAAATAAATAAAATTAAAAAAATTCCTGCCCTACCTGGTTTGGCTCAGTGGACAGAGCTTTAGCCTTCGGACTAGAGGGTCACAGGTTTTATTCCAGTCAAGGGCACATGCCCAAGTTGTGGGCACGATCTCCAGTGGGCAGTGTGCTGGAGGCAGCTGATGATTCCCTCTCATCATTAATGTTTCTACCTCTCTCCCTCTCCCCTTCCTCTCTGAAATTAATAAAAACGTACAAAAAAATTCCACCTAAGGATTTAGGAAGTAATATGAATGAGCTAGGTGTTCTAAAACATGCCTGAAATACTTGACAATGTACATCCCATCTTTTCAGACCAATGTTGTCCAAAAGAACTGGAAATGTACTATTAACTTTAGAAGAAAATAGTTACTACAAGAGACCATTCATCAAATGGATGTAGTTTTGAAACGCCACAATTATCCTAGCACAGTGGTCGGCAAACTCATTAGTCAACAGAGCGGCAAACCTCGGCTCGAGAGCCGCAGTTTGCCGACCACTGTCCTAGCAGATCAAGAGTTATTACATAGATGGTTAAAACACCAGGAACCAATAAAGCCCATCTCCAATTCTTTCTCACTTTAAGTCCCATAATGTAACCAAAGCAGGTCACCTTTCTTTTTTGGTTACTAAAATCTATTTTTTTATTCAGAAAAAAAATTTTTTTTCCCAACCACACACAGGAGGGGTATGAGTAGGGGGAGATGTCTTCCATCCAGCCCTGGCCCCTAGCCTATGTGGTTTTGGCAGCAATAAGAGAAGGGATATAGGATAATGGCCAAAAAAATTAAAATGGTATATATGGGTCACTTTTCCTTTAATTCCTTCAATATTTTCAAAATAACCCAATTAGTTAAATGTCACTTCTGCTTCTTGAAAAACAGGGCAAAGGTCAAGTTAGAATTACAAATATTTTTTAAGTCAGTAACCTGAGAAAATAAAGGGTCATAAGGAATTAACTTAAGAGTGACTTTTGGCCGAAACCGGTTTGGCTCAGTGGATAGAGCGTCGGCCTGCGGACCAGAAAGTCCCAGGTTCAATTCCGGTCAAGGGCATGTACCTTGGTTGTGGGCACATCCCCAATAGGAGGTGTGCAGGAAGCAGCTGGTCGATGTTTCTCTCTCATCGCCGTTTCTAACTTTCTATCCCTCTCTCTTCCTCTCTGTAAAAAATCAATAAAATATATTTTTAAAAAAAGAGTGACTTTTGAAGACATGATAGTTACTAATTTTTTTAATTAAAATTCAAAAACTGTAAAATAAAATAAAATTCAAAAACTAATATTTAACCATGTATTTCAATTTCATTTCATAGTCAAATAAGAAATAAGAAGGAAAAAAGATGCCCAGAAAAGCATGAGTAGCCCTAGCTGGTTTGGCTCAGTGGATTGACCTGCAGACTGAAGGGTCCCAGGTTCAATTCCGATCAAGGGCACATGCCTGGGTTGCAGGCTCGATCCCCAATAGGAGGCTTACAGGAGGCAGCTGATCAGTGATTTTCTCTCTTCCTCTCTGAAATCAAAAAAGTATATATTTAAAAAAGAAAAAAAAAAGCATGATCAAAGAAGAAAGGTACATGAAATAAGTAAACAAAAATGAGATAGTACAGACACAAATGACTACTCATATCCAGCTGTTAACCTGAGGGCTGTCCCAAAGAGTCATTACCTCTTACCCTGGTGGCTTAAAATGCTAGTTGATTAAACCTCAGTTCCTAAGCCAGACTTTCTGTCCTTACCCCAGTGGCATAAAAGGGAACTTATGTCTTCAATTGCAGTGGCTTTTTATCAGCGTCCTCCCCTGGGACACCTATGAAATCAAACACTGAGATTGGCTCTCCACCCTCAGGGATAAAGTGAAGTGTCCAAAGTGACAGCGTTCAATCCCTGGAGTACACTCGGTTCGCAGCTTCTTTTTCAGTCCTGCAAGTACTGGATCTTTCTTTGAGAGTACAAAGAGAGGGAGAGAAAGAGAGGTAATTGAGAAGTAGTAAAACCCCCATCCAGAGATGTGAAAACACCCGGACTTGAGAAAAAGGTCTCCGAAAGCTCATTCTTGCCACACCACACCTTCTTTCTCCCTCAAGTTCATGAATCACACTTGAAAAACATTGTTTCACAATTTCACACAGGAGGGGTTTTGAAGAACACTCAAATGTATCATTAAGCGCGGCTAACTCTCCAACCACACGGCTTTGAACTGTGCAGGTCCACTTATACACGGATTTTTTTCTTTTTCTGTTTCAATAAATACCTGTACTGCTTTCCATCCCGGGTTTGGAGTCCATGGATGCGGAGGACCGACTGTATGCATGGATCTTCGCCATTTTATCTAGGGGACTTGAGCATCCGCAGGGTTTGGGGATCTGCGGGGTCCTGGAATCAAGCCCCCTCGATACCGAGGGACAACTGTGTAGTTAAGTGTTGGGGTCACACGTTACGCGGGGGGAAGGTGCCCCCTCGCCCCACCCGCACAATGCTTAAGGTTCGACTGTGGCATTAGATAGTCCTGTGGCATTAGATAGCCGGACTTCCAATGTTTTTCGAGATGTTTCTAACTGCAAGAAAAGAGAGAGGGGGTTGCCACCTTGCCAGCCCCTCTCCCTGCAGTTCTCCCTTCCTGCGCCCTGAACGCCGTTTGCCACCCGTTGTGCAATCGTTTTTGGAACTCCACCCACTGACTCCAGAACAAGTGGAATTCTCCCACTCCGAAGGTCTCCGTTCTCCCGTAGCCAGGGAGACATTGAAAACTCCTTGACGTGAGTTAAGGCAGGCGAGAGGAACGGGCCGGCCTGTTCCCCAGATCCAGAGACCCAAGGACGGGTGCCAGAAGGCACTCAAGTTCACGTTCCCCAAAAAGGAAATACACTTTAGAAATAAAGGAAAGAGGGCAAAAGAAAAAAATATAGCAAAGGGGGGGGGGGGGTGGATCAGGAAGACCAGCTATCACGCAATGCTGCTCCCAAGTCTGCGAGACCCGGGTCCCCCGGCATCGCCTCCCGATCGCCGGGCCCACGTGCGCCCATGCCCGCGGGGCCCAGGGGCGACCCCGGAGCCCGAGTCCCGAGACCACTGCCGCCGCCCGCGGAGGGTCGGGGGGCGCAGGGGGGCGGGGAACCGGGGCGCCCGTGGACCCGGCTCCCGCGCGGTTATCTTGCTGCGCAACAGCCTCGTCCGCGCCTCCCGGACGCGCCCCGCACCTGCCCCGCCAGAGGGGGGCGAGCTGTGGCCCCGGGCAGCGCCCCCCCGAGGGCGGCACCCCGCGAGGGGAGCGAGGGGGACCCGCGGGGGAGCGCACCTGGCGCCGCGGCCCCGAGGCGCCGGCCACACGTGGCTGTCACACCTGGCGCCCCCGCCTCCGGCCCGGCCCCTTTCACCGGCTGCACCCCGGCCCTCCCCCGTCACCGCCGCCGGGCGCCCCCAATCTCAACCTCCGCCCCCTCCCGTCCCACCCGTCTCGGTAACATCCTCTCCCCCCACCCCGACACCTGCTCCCACAGTCGTCACCCCCGGGAGGAGAGAGAGCCGGATGTCCGTCCCGGGGCTAACCGTAACCGGGGGAGCGTGAAGAGGTGGACCCCGAAAAAGCCAGCCCGAGCACTCCCCCCGGCTCAGAACGACGCGGCTGACCCCGGACTGACCTTCTGCCTCGGGCTGCGTCGCCGTCCGCCCCGACCGGCCTCAGTCGCCTCCTCAGCGCCGCCGCCTCTTCCCCGCGCTGCCTCTTCTACCCGCGTCGCCATGAGGTGACGGCAGCAGCGAAACTAGCGGCTCGACAAGGGACACGGAACCTCGTAGGGCCTCGCGCTCCGCCCCTGGACCTCCAGGCCAATCGCCGCGCTCCGTGTGCCCCACGTGACCGGAGGGGGTTGGCCCCCGAGGGGACGGAGCGGGATGGGGGTGGGGAGCATGGAGGCAGGGGCTGGGCTTCTGCCGGGCCGAAGGGCAAACGCAGGCTTAGTGAGTCTGCGCGGATGGAGAAAAGGACTCTGATACGGACTACAAGATCCAGCAGGCTACGCGGCTACAGCTCGCAAGCCCGGGTCGGGATTGGGTCGTCATGCAGCGTCCCAAAACGAGGAAGTAACCACCGTGCTGCGCGTGCAGCCTGCTGGGAATTGTAGTTTTCTGGGGGGCGATGTACCGGTACCGGAAAGTTCTCTTTATTATCCTGCAGGAAAAGTTTAGAAATATCCCTGGGTTTGGGAGGGAGCGGGAGCGGGGACGCAATGTTGTGTTTTTGTTTTTGTTGCTCTTTTTCGGAAGTGAGCCCGACTGATGTTAGGTTAAGGGGAAATACTTCGTGACTTTCAAGGCAGGAGAGACATAATGGCTTTCAGAATTTGAGGTTGTGGCTAGGACACCTGCCCGAGCCTGGCTGCTCCACCAGAGCTCTCAGAACCGAGTACCTGTCCTGAGCTGCTGCGGGGTGGGGACTGCGTCCTAGTCACCTTGACTAACCAGCCCTGGCTTTCAGTTTTGTTCTCTGCACTTAGTTGGCATTGAGTACATGTTGAATGTATCCTTCTTCTGTTACTGGATTTTTAAAATAAACTCGGATTGCTGAATCTATATATATGTATACGATTGGGGCGGAGTGGAGTTTTCTTCAGGAATACTACGCATTTCCATCTGATGGAACCAGATCTCCAATAACGGAGCTACTGAAAGTCACGGACCGTCATAAAATCCTGGCAGTCTCAAAGAATTCATTAAAATTTGTGTAAATACCATGCCATTTGTTATTAGAGTAGAATGCAAAACAGTGGTAGCAGACGCCAAAAATTTAATGACATGCATTAGAATAAATTTCAATATTGGGGAAACTCCAGCTATTAATTTTAATTATTTCTGTAAATCTGAGGGAGTAGCATTATTTTATTTAAAGGGCAGAATACCTCAATCCAGTTTGGATGTCAAGCCTAAAGTAATAGCTGAAACCGGTTTGGCGCAATGGATAGAGCGTCAGCCTGCGGACTGAAAGGTCCCAGGTTTGATTCCAGTCAAGGGCATGTACCTTGGTTGCAGGCACATCCCCAGTAGGGGGTGTGCAGGAGGCAGCTGATTGATGTTTCTCTCTAGTCGATGTTTCTATCTATCCCTCTCTCTTCCTCTCTGTAAAAAATCAATAGAATTTTTTTTTTTTAAAGAAGAAGAAGACTAAAGCAATAGATAATGAACCCATACCCAGGCTCTATATAAAGCTGATGGCCTCGGATACCATGCTTCATCTTAAAGGCAAAAGTCCCAGCAAGATGCAGAATCTAGTATCAGCAATGCAGCTTCTAGCTTCTAACATGTCCAGAGAATTGAGTGTCAAAATGCACTGTAGTTAAATTGTGCTACAATAGAACACCATACAGCTACTAAAAATGATAAATACATTTTAAATTGACCTAGAAAATATGTATAGCATAATGAGCTTTAAAAAATCCCATTTATATGGAATTGCCTGTGTGGGTATAAAGAGATGTTTTAGAAGTATATTGACCAAAATGTTAACAGTGTTTCCCCCTGGGTGGTGAAATTTGGGAGTATTTTTACTTCATGATTTTCTCTATTGTTTGAGTATAATTATGTATGGAACAAAAAAAAAAATAGTTATCTTTATTAAGAAAACAAAAGAACTCTTCAAGTGACCTCAAGTCTTATGATAAATGAAAAATATTTAATTATATTTATTTATACACATTTCTATTTCAAAAGGGGTTTGAGTGGCTTTTAAATATATACACAACATGCCATTACCTATGTGTGTGGTGTGTACATATATAGATATATAAGAGCATGTCATTCATTCAGTGGGGGCGGGGGAGGAGAGAGAGAGAGAGAGAAAAGAAAGTGGAAGTGAAAGTAGGATAGGGAAAATAAGATGAAGTCATGGGTGAATCGAATGTATAAAGCACATGCCTTGAGGTCTTGTACACAGCTGGAGGTGAACCCAATTTTTATTTTGAGCTTCTCCACAGCTGAGAAAAGAGGAAAACACTATTTTCCAGATGATTCACAACATCACAAAATAAAAACAAACTGGCCAAAACCGGTTTGGCTCAGTGGAGAGAGCGTCCGCCTGAGGACTCAAGGGTCCCAGGTTCGATTCCGGTCAAGGGCATGTATCTTGGTTGCGGGCACATCCCCAGTAGGGGGTGCGCAAGAGGCAGCTGGTGGATGTTTCTCTCTTATCGATGTTTCTAGCTCTCTATCCCTCTCTCTTCCTCTCTGTAAAAAAATCAATAAAAATATTTTAAAAATAAAATAAAATAAAAAACTGGTCTGGTTGCACAAGAGAAACAAAGCTGTTACTGCTCTTGCGAGAAATACGACTTTTAGAGATTTGTTTCTTATAAAACCTTCAACGGAGAGGATGGTACTTTTAAACTCTGCCCACAAGTTCTGTGATGCACCTCCCTCCAACAGCTGGAGCCTGACTCCTCCCGTCTTGAATGTGGGTGGGCCAGGCTTAGCGATGGGCTGCTGAGCAACACATAGCACAAATGCTGAGTAGCTTCCAACACTGTTAAGAGAAAGAATAGATTCTGCCTGGCTCTCTGGGTCTTGGGTTACTCTCTTCTTCCTTGGGTCAGACTAACCTGATTTTTGATAAACCCATTCTTTGTTTAGATTTGAAATACCTCAAAGAGGTTACTGTCAAGGCTTTGCCCAATATCCCCTCCGCCCTTCCCTCCCCCCACCCCCACAACACACACCTAAAGCACTTTGCTTATCTCTGCTGGAATTCATTGTCAGGGTAATATTTTAGGTTTTCAAGGCTTTCAAGTCTTTTAAGAGGACACATTCTCTTTGCATTAATTATTCTCACTTTTGCTCCAGGAATTACTGGCTCCGTTAACAGCTGTGCCTGAAAGGAAAGTGAAGGTCGCGGAGAAAGCAGCTCCACTTGGGGTAAGAAGTATTCTCCCCAGGCTCCCGGAGGGCTAGGAATAGAACCTGAATACGGGCCCATGTATGCAGATGTTTATTAAGCAGCCATGAGCCTGAGGCACAAAACAGTTCTGAGCAGTAAACTCAGTGATGTCCCCAACTCGATCATTTTGGCAGGTGGACTGGCCACTATAACAGAAGCAAGATTCTGTTGGCCTTGTATCGCTTATCAGGAAACTCGGAATTTCAGAGTTCATAGCTGGACACGGGACCATTTAGAAGTTTAGCCTATAATGTTATTCCTCAAGGAAGAGGCTTCAGACCCACTAGGGTCTTCTGTTTTGTTCTGGTTTGGTTTGGTTTGGTTTTTAGGTTCTTATACCTGTCAGTACAAGAGTGAGGAGAGTCTCACAGATTGTAAATCACCGACTTCACCAATATGAGCCCATTTCTAACAAGCTCCTCATTTCACCACTGAAAACTCATTTCTAAACTTCATTTTGCTACTTTACTAAGTGTCTGGTGTTGATTGAGCCATGGCTAACAGAAGCATCTATAGTAGTTGGAATATGGACTCTCTGATTATAGCTGATCACCCCTGGCATGTGAAGTCCTGAGCAGGGTCATTGCCAGCCCTTAACTTCACACACACACACACACACACACACACTACTACACTAACTGCTGAACAGATCTTGTCATACTCTATAATATGATCACAGGTATTCATTGATAAATCAAAGAAGTAATGTACTATATATATGTATATATGTGTATATATATATGTATATATTTTTTATTGATTTTTAAAATATATATTTTATTGATTTTTTACAGAGGAAAGAGGGATAGAGAGCTAGAAACATCGATGAGAGAGAAACATCGACCAGCTGCCTCTTGCACACCCCCTACTGGGAATGTGCCCGCAACCAAGGTACATGCCCTTGACCGGAATCGAACCCAAGACCTTTCAGTCTGCAGACCGATGCTCTACCACTGAGCCAAACCGGTTTCGGCTATTTTATTGATTTTTTTACAGAGAGGAAGGTAGAGGGATAGAGAGTTAGAAACATCTATGAGAGAGAATCGTCGATCAGCTGCCTCCTGCATACCCCCTACTGGGGATGTGCCCACAACCGAGGTACATGCCCTTGACCGGAATCGAACCTGGGACCTTTCAGTCCGCAGGCTTACGCTCTATCCACTGAGCCACACCGGTGGTTAGGGCCCACATCACTTTCTTTACAAAACCCTTTAGCCCAAAGAAATCACATCAGAGCCTCAATGAACAAAAAGAATGAGTCTGGATCCCGGCAGACCTGGCCTTTCCCTGCCTAGCTGGCTTCAGCTGCAGCATCAATCCCCACAGCAATGACTCAGCTCTCATTTGCAGAGCCAGAGTGGCACTGCACGCAATAAATTTTTAAATGAAAAGCCGGAGGTTTCTTTTAGGCCTATTATTTCAAAGAATGAGACTTTCCTTTACCCAGTTGATGAAAATAACTGCCTCAAGCTCCTAAGCTAGCCTCGCCTTATCTTCTCCAGTGGTGCACCAGGAGTGGCGTTTCCTTAGCAATTGTCTCTCCAGCATCCATATTGTCTTCGTTCCTTCTTAAAACAGTCTTTTGTTTTTTATTAGATACTCCTGTGAAGAGCACACTGGTGTTTTGACTAGATATTTTCAGTTCTGTTGCTGCAAGGTTAGTATTTGCATGTAATAACATGCTATTTCTTTTTCTGGCATCTTTATTGTTCTGTTCCCCTGAATGAAAGCCAAGTTCTCTGATTCTAGCTCTGTATTATATGACTTAAGTGGTAGCTATGTCTTTTCATTTCTTTTCATAGTTTCATTTTACTTCTT